TTACAATCGACGGCCAATCAGTAGGAGTAAATCCACCCCGAATGCCCGGAACCTAGCCTTCGAACTTACATCGAGGATCACCAGCCAAGGCTCACGCCCTGACTGCCATACATACATAAATGAGACTACCCATTGGGTACGTTCTGTAGCTACGGGAATAACCGTTCGACGGCCAATATAGCTCACATCGAAGGCTACATGGTTCACATGCATACTTTGATCATACCACAACAATAACCATTAATTAAAGCATAGCAATTTCAAATAAAACCCACCTAGATATAGCAAGAGGTATAGCCAAACACAGAGTTGAAGGAATTATGGCACAAGTTCAGCTCGAAGAACCTACAACAATTTATAATAGCCTATCATTGACCATCCAAAACAAAACAACACACAAGGCACAAATACTTAGCCGAAATCATATCGACTAAGTGACTCGTGGATTCCTTGACCGAGTTAGGTACTATGGAAAGACTACCAGACCTGGACACAACTCAAATACCTCAGGTAATACACATAAATCATGCCAACATTAATGAAAACCAATCCTAACCTAAACAACATATAACCGAGCATTAAGACCCCAAAATGAACTAAATTCAGAATTAGGCGTTAGACTCAGCCAATCAACTTGAAACTTTACCACATTATAAAGAATACAAAAACACATAAACTCACCAAGTTTCAGCCATAAATTCATCTGAGACCATTTTTAAATAATTTAAGAAAAAACAGCGCCAAAATCGGCATTTAATGGTTTGCATAGCTACACTTCGAATTTCAGTCTGAACTTTTTAAACAACATACAACAATACAAAATAACAGGTTCCTCAAAGTTTTAGCTCAAAACTCCAAGTGTACGATTTTTAATGAATTTTACAAGTTTCTGCCCAGAAACCGATTTAAGCATTTGAACACCAAAAACTCAAAGATAAAATCAGGGGCTTGAAACACACATTCCAGATACTCAGAGGCACAACATAAAAAAATTTAGCCAAAACAGACAACAACTCGATTTATGGTGAATTTATTACGGTTCAGCAGCATGCTCGGTTTAGAAAATCATATCTCCCTATATACAACTCGAAACGACCTCAAACCAAAACCAATAAATCAAGGACAACTCCAAGTACCTATAACTCTAGGATTTCCACGAAATAAACCACGTTAAATACAATTCGACAATAATTCAAAGTGACGACAATCACTTTGATATCCAATTTGCAATTATATATTAAAATCCTCACAATTACTCAACTAAGGTATGTATTTAACTTCAAGAAGCACGTTCAACACATAATATACCAAAGTATCACAAATCACGAAATCATAATGAGATGGGTCGAGCCTTGTACCGTTCTCGGGAATCGATCAAAAACGAAAACGAAGGGTCGAATGAGGCTGTCGGAACGGCGCTCGGCAGCAGGCGTGACTCGCAGGTGTTGAGGTCGATTGCTTGTGGGCTCAGACCTCGGGACAGCAACTAAGTCATGCGAATAGCAAGAATGCGGCCACGGGGCTGGCGGCGATAGAGCTCGCGGATAGCGGCGGAGGATGAACTCGCCGGGAAGATGATTGGCCGCGGTGGAGGGTCGCAGTGGCGCTTCTGGTTTGCGACGGAGGTGGCGGCATGACGGGACTCGCGGACAGAAGAGATCATTGGGGTCTTCGCTGAGGTTCACGTCGTTGCTGCTGGGACCTGCTCGCGAATCGTGAGGGTGCAGCGTCGACAAGAGGATCGCGACAGGAGGAGGTCGCTGGAAGGGATGGTCCTCGTGAGGGTTCACGGCGATCAGAAAATTCAGAGAAAGGGGAAGGTGATGATGATGGCGACGGTGTCTGGAGATGGTAGAGATGGAAGGGTGATGGTGATGAGCGGAGGGATTGACGATGATGGTCGATCAAAATCACGAGAGAGTTCTCCCTGTTCTGCTCAAGACGCGATCTAAAGAAAAAGAACAAGAGAAAAAGAGCTGCGGGAACGATACTGATTTCTCTCTTGAACGAGCGAGATAATGAAAATACCCGATGCTCGATTGAAATAATAGCTGCTAGGGTTTGTTTCTTGAACCATAAGAAATCTCACTCACGCACACATCTCACGGGTCGGAAAACCGGGTTCGGGGCTGGTTCGGTCGGTTCAATGAAACGAATCGGCTCTCGAGCCCGACTAGCCGAAAAATTAAATCGGTTCTTCTCGGGCTCGATAAATTAAATTCATAAACTGGATATTATTATATATATTTATAATACACACATTATTTATTTAATAATAATAATAATATGCAGTTAGACAAATAATGACATTTAGACATTCATTTAATAATAATAATAATAATAATAATAATAATAATATTCCAAAATAATTCGTAAACAATGGTTTACGAATCGGCCAGTTTCGACTATCGGTTTATCGGGCTCAATATCTTGAAATCCGAAAATACATAACGCTTGGAAAAATAAAATATGACGACCCATAAATTTTTAAATTTACGAAACCGACATAATATATTTTATTAGAACACACTAATAAATATATTATCAAGAAATTAATTTACTTTGGCAACTTACAAAAATAAATAATAATAATATTAATATTGCCAAAATATCAAAAAAATCCATTATCCAAACGGATTATATTTGGTTCAGCGATTAAACCGAAATCGCCAAACAACGAACGTTTTCAAATAAAACGATCGGGTCCAACTTTTTATTAATGTCGACATCACGACCAATAAAATAAATATAACCGCATAAATAATACTCGATAAATAGAATATTTCGAGAAATTCTATAAATCAAACGGGACGTTACAGGGCGTGGCCCACAGTTAGTCTAATTAATAAAGGAGCCATTTTCCTAATCTTTTAAGGGTCCCTACTGTAGCTCTATATATACATCATTAAGTTCATGAAAAGAGATCCCATCTCATATTCACGGGACAAACACGCCGCCCCCTACTCTCTCTCTCTCTAGATCTCATTCGAGTTTTATCTTCTTCTTGTTGCTCCACTGGTACAAGTTGAAGAAGGGTGTATTGAGTAATACAGTCGAAGATATGTAGGTAAACCGAGACGAAATATATTTTGTCCTACAGAACTAACCGGAGGTCCGATTGAGCATAGCATACCCAGATGACAGTCTCGACGAGAGCTTTCCATCGCCGCCGGAAGCTCCCAGACTGCAAGTTTCATTTTGATCTGTTTTCATCCGTTTGATCCGGTTTTGATCTAATCTTGTTTGTGAAACCCAAGACGTGATTTGCGGTCAACCAGATCTACATAAATTTTAAGCCGTAAGTTTTATACGTCAAACCTTTAGATCCATTGCGCATAGGTTTACGTTTGCTATTGAATTCGTGACTTGTACATAACGAGATCCTCACAAATCCCAACAAGTGGTATAAGAGAACTTAGTTAATCCGTTTTGTACAAAGTTTGAATTTGTACGGCTTTATTTGACAAGATGTGTTCAAACGCAGCCATATATTGGATTATATTTGCATAACTCGGTTTTGCAGAAAAATAGTTAATCCACTATTATGGCTGATTATGTGTTTGATGAATGTTGTTGAATGTGATGTATGGTTTTAAATTTGTTTTAAAGCCTCAGACATGTCGAGAAATTTATGGATGAATATTTGTAATAATTATTCGCCCGGGTGTTGACCGGATAGATTTAATTATTTGTTTAGAAAACATGTACATCCATTCGTTGGATCTAGGATCGAATTATGTAATTTTGTAAATTATATTTTTCATGTTGTGATCGTGTGTTGATGATCGGGAGATCACAAGAAGATCAACGAGCCTCGAAGAATTAAAAAAAAAATCGGCGATTTCCGACCACCGGCAGCCGGGCGCCGGCCAGACGGCGGCTGGTCGTGGCTGAGGTGGAGAGGTTTGCTTGATGTCCAAGCAGTACAAGATCAACCAGGATTCTACTGCTTAAAGGAGTTCCAGTTGAACAGGAAAAAAACTGTCTCCAATTCATTGCTAGGGTGTTTTTGGGCCTCTAGGGCTCTGTTCGTGGACGTTGATATGGGAGATAAAATTGGGGGTCGTGGTTCTGAGGGTGATCTGCAGGAAAATGTTCTTCGAAAGTTCCAATCTTGTTTATTGTCAGCCAAGGAAACGGGAGAAATCGAGCTGCAGGTGAAGGATGTTAAAACTAGTGAAGAAGAATGTGAGCGGAGTTTGTTTGGGAAAATTGTTGGTGATCGCCCGGCGACTATAATGGGGATTAAACGTACTATGAGTAGTATTTGGAAGCTGCAACAAGCGATGGAAGTGAAAGAGATAAGTTCAAATTTTTTCCAATTCATTTTCACTGCGCTGGAGGATAAGGTAAAAGTTGCAGCGGGTAATAATTGGTTATACGAAAATCAATACCTTATTTTGACAGAATGGTTTCCTGGGCTTCATAGTTCCCATGAGTGTTTCAATGAGCTTAATATATGGATTCAAGTGATGAACGTCCCTCTCAACTGGATGAGCACGGAAGTGGGTATGTGCATTGGAAAAATATTTAATCGTGTTAAAAATGTTGTGGTATGTAAAGTAGGGGGAGAACTGGGGAGTTTTCTTAAAATTTTGGTCTCTTTAAACCTGAAAGAGCCGATTCCTAGATGTACGGTGGTTAAGCTGGGTGAGCAAAGGGTGGTGGTCACATTTCGGTATGAACGGCTTGTTAATCTCTGTTATTACTGTGGGATGATTGGGCACATGGATAGGGGGTGTAAACGTCGAGCGGAGGATATTGAAAAGGGCACACCTGCTGAAGGGCAATTTGGTGAATGGCTGAAAGCTAAGGAAACCTATCATGGAGGGAGGAATTATCAGGCTAGTAGCTCTGAGGGTAAGAGTAATCCACCACAACAGCCTTCTAATCATAACTCATGTGGGGCTACTAGTTCTTCTCCTGCAAAAAACAACCAAATTCAGACAGTACCTCCTGGGGTGCAGTTAAATCAGGGGAGAGGTTTTAATGTAGAGAGTATGGGTCAGACTGGTGCTTCTAAGGGGTTAGATATCATTCTTTCTGGGGAAGAAGTGGGGCTGGCCACCAACGCTGTAGGAGAGGGAACTGGTGCAGTACTAATGGAGTTGGCAACTCAGGAGTTGGTTAATTCAGATACTATGGAGAAGGAGGCTTCAATTCAACCAAAGACAACTGGGAGAGGAAAGGTTGGAGCTTCATGGAAGAGGAAACAGCCAAATTCAGGCAGATTACTGAGAATGTCTGAACAGCCATCACATAGTCATATGGCTATTGAGATGTCTAAAGGGGAGGTGCCTATTAAATCACAGAAGAGAAGTAGAGAGAGTGTATTGTATGAGGAGGGTTTGCAGATTCTGAACCATGAAAGTAAGGAGAAGAAGGTGAAAGCTGACAGTGATGATCTTCAGGTGGAGAAGGCCAGCCTAAAATGGCCCCGAGGTGATCAATGAAAGCTATGGTGTGGAACTGTAGAGGGCTGGGTGGGTCCTCTACAGTTTCCCAGATTAAGGACTCCAAAAGAGTTCACCATCCAAATATGATATTTTTATCAGAAACTAAGAAGTCATGGGCTTTTACTAACACTGTTTGTAGAAAATTGGGGTATGGGAGCAGATGGTTCTTGGAAAAGCCTATTGGTACTAGAGGAGGTATGTTGCTGATGTGGGATGTGAACACTGAGATCAGGCAGTTGATATCAAATCATTTCTGTTTACAAGTGGAAGCCAAAGGGGTAGGGGTGAGAGATTGGTGTTGGTTTATTTTTGTTTATATGAGCACTGACAGAAATGAGAGGGAAAGGCAGTGGGAATTTATGGAGCAAAGTAAGCAGAATTGGGGTACCTGCTGGGTGATGGCTGGGGACTGGAATGACATATCTTGCAATGAGGAAAAGAGAGGGGGACTGAGGAGATCTGAATCCAGTTTTACAAGATTCAACTCTTTTATTGCTAATATGGGTATGAAGGAGATGGATCAAAAGGGAGCTTTCTTTACTTGGGGTAATAATAGAGCTGGGGATGGCTATATAGAGGAGAGGCTTGACAAGGTTTTCATCTCATATGAGTGGTTGTTGAATTTTCCAAGGATGGAGGTTATCAATTTCTTTAGAACAGCATCTGATCATAATGTGCTGATTTTTGATACTGACATGGAGATGGATAGAAGGAAGAAGAGATTTCAGTTTGATAGCTCTTGGGCACAGCTGGAGGGGGTGAAAGAAGCAGTTCAGACTGGGTGGCAAATTTCTGTGGAGGGGTCTCTGATGTACCAAGTTCATCAAAAAATTAAGAGTACCAGAATGGCTTTATTAGCTTGGCACAAACCCATTAGTCGAACAGTGATCAGATTATCAAATCTCTGACTTCAAAGATGGAGGAGATGAGATTGAAAGGGCAGGAAAGGGATTGGGAGGCATGGGATTCTTTGAAAGCTGAACTTGATTGTGCTCACAAAGAGGAGGAGAACTATTGGAGATTAAAGTCCAGAGCTTTGTGGATGAAAATGGGGGATAGAAACACCAGATTTTTTCATGCTTATACTGCCCAAAGGAGGAAGACCAATTTGATTCAGAGGCTGGTCACTAATACAGGGGTTGTATGTGAGTCCCAGGAAACTATTGTTAACCACATGGTGGATTTTTACTCTCATCTCTTTACCTCTGAAGGCTCTGCAGGAGGTGAGGAATTATTACAGCACATTTCTCATTCCATCACTGATGAGAGCAACAACAGGCTTATTCAGCCAATTCATGAGCTAGAGATCAAAGCTGCACTCTTCAAGATGGAGTCTGAGAAAGCACCAGGGGATGATGGTATGACTGCCTCTTTCTTTAAACACTTTTGGGATAATATTAAAGTGGATGTGTGTAATGCTGTTAAAAGTTTCTTCAGTTCTGGCTCCTTACTCAAAAACTGGAAGCACACAGTGATAACTCTTATCCCAAAATGCTTGTATCCAGAATCATTAAGTAATTTCAGGCCTATTTCTCTGTGTGGTGTTCTGTATAAGATTATTGCTAAAATACTTGCTGAGAGACTGAAGTTGTGCCTAAATCTGTGTATTAGCCCTGCTCAAACTGCATTTGTTCCTGGGAGAAATCTGTTAGATAATGTTGTGATAGCCCATGAAGTTTTCCATTTTCTGCATAGACATAGGACTGGGTCTCAAGCTTTCATGGCTGTAAAGTTAGACATGGAGAAAGCTTATGATAGGGTGGAATGGGAGAGCATTAAGAAAATTATGAAGAAAATGGGTTTCCATGGTACTTTCATTAAATGGGTTATCAGTTGCATCTCTTCTCCTACATACTCTTTTAATCTGAATGGAATGAATTGTGGTTATGTTAGAGCTACTAGGGGAATCAGACAAGGGGATCCGCTTTCCCCTTACTTATTCATCTTGGTTTCAGAGGCTTTTTCTTCTGCATTGAATTATGCTACCAGTGTTGGTCAGTTTAGGGGTATTAAGATCTCAAGAGGTGGTCCTATGCTCTCTCATTTACTTTTTGCAGATGATGCTTTGATTTTCTGTAAGGCAGATGAGTCTCATGCTTTGTGGCTGTTGAATATCCTTCACATATACCAAGGCTTCACAGGGCAGAAGGTCAATTTGCATAAATCATCTATGTTTCTGAGCAAGAATTGTGATGCTGACATGGTGAGGAGAATCTGCTCTGTTTTAAGGGGTGTGGTGGTCAAAAGATCCTCAAGATACCTTGGGCTTCCTTTAGGTATTGGAGCATCTAAGAAGGAAGCTTTTCAGTTTGTGGAGGATTCAGTCAGAGTTAGAATTGAAAGTTGGAAGAACAGTCTTTTGTCCACGGCCGGTAAGGAGATTTTGATCAAATCTGTCCTGCAGGCTCTACCTATTTTTGTTATGTCATGCTTTATGCTGCCTGTAGGATTGTGTAAGAATATTTGCAGATTATTTGCTAAGTTTTGGTGGAGTAAGGGTGGAACTCAATCTGATGGCCTACATTGGAAAGCCTGGGATAAAATGGCTACTCCTAAACTTGAGGGAGGGTTGGGATTTCTGAATATCAGTCTCCTGAATAAAGCTCTCATTCTGAAACAATTGTGGAGAATTTTGGACCAGCCTGATCTTCTAGTTAGCCAAGTTCTGAGAGGTAAATACTTTTCTAACTGTTCTATCTTTGACTGGACTCATTCAAGTAGTGATTCATGGCTATGGAAATCTTGGACTTCTTTACTGCCTGTCCTTAAATCTCAACTGAACATTATTATAAAAAATGGGGCTCATACTAAGTTGACTGATCACTGCTGGGTTCCTGGTTTGGGAGGTAGAAAACCTCAGCTCAGGATCCTTATTGATGACCATATGTTCTTGGTTAAGGACTTATTAATTGCAGGAGGATGTAATTGGGACCCTAATTTGGTTAAAGCATTGTTCATTGCTGAGGATGCTGAAAAAATCCTGCAAATCAAGAACCTAAATCCAAGGAAAGCTGACATGTGGAATTGCTCTTTTGTGGCTACAAAAAACTTTTCAGTCAAGAAAGCTTACTCTTATTTGGTTGCTGGAAACTCTACTGCAAATGCTGTGGCTGAAAGTAGTATGATGGCTGAGGGGAACAGGAAAGCTAGAGCAAGATGTTGGAATCTCAAAGTGATGAGCAAGGTGAAACACTTCATTTGGAAGTGTTTTACCAACATATTACCTGTCTGCACTAATCTGATCTCAAGAGGACTGCTTATTGATCCTTTTTGTAGAGTCTGTGGGGAAGCTGTAGAGTCCCAAGAGCATGTCTTTTTCCAGTGCCATAGAGCAGTGAAGGTGTGGAAGCTAGCTCCTGTGCAGTGGAACAGAGTTCACCAAGAACAACTCACTTTTAAGCAGTGGTGGTGGTGGATTTGTACCATGGATTTCAAAGACACATCAGAAGAGAGAATTCAACTATCCACGTATATACTTTGGTGGCTCTGGAAAGCGAGGAACCTTTGGGTGTTTGAAGGCCATATGCAACCTGAGAGATGGATTATCAAGGCTGCCTTGCGAGACTGGAATGATTTTACTTGTACCAACTAAGGAGCAGGAAGGGAAGAAGCTGAACTGGAGCTAGGCTATTTTAGCAGTGGTTTCAGGTTTTGTTGTTTGCTTTCTGTTCGCATTTGCTGTAGTTGTATTTTGCAAGGGTCCTTTGTATTGTTTTGGTCTCTCGGGTTGTTCATTTGCTGTTGATGTTGTACTGTGTTTATGGTCATTATCTATGTATTTCGGCTAGGCTGCAAAGATCTTGCATGGCCTCTCAGTTACCCAGGCTGTATTTGGATATTGTATCATTACCATTTTATGGTTTAATCGAGATATTTATGTCGTTGGAAAAAAAAAAAATGAACCTAATATGCGTTTGTTGGCTAGAATTGGTGGTTTATTTAAATTTATTATGCCATTAAATTATTATTTATGCATGTTAATTAATTATGTTCTTGCATGGGATTAATTTAGTATTCTAAGATTAATTATGCATGTTAATTAATTATGTAATGCATATGATTAATTTGGAATTGTGTCAATAAATTATGCATATAATTAATTATTGAACTGGCATGGATTAATTTAAAATTGTATAAATTATTGAACATGTTAATTAATTATTGCATTGACATAGATTAATTTAGAATTGCATGAATTAATATGCATGTTAATTAATTATTGCATTAACATAGATTAATTTGAAATTGTATAAATAGTTAAAAATCCTCATTAAATTATACTAAGTTTGAGAAGGGATTCTAAATTAAATTTAATTGTAAAATTCCTAAGGCCTCCATTTCTAATTTGTCGGTAAATCAATTAAGCTGCGGTAATGGGCTCCCCCTTGGGTGACATTGCTAAAATTTAATTGTAGGTAATTACCAGGACAAATTTCTAATTAGACGGTTAGAGAAAATCTTATGAGAGCGTACGGGATTCCTCTCGGATGACGTATAATCAAATTTGACGACCTTAGGACCGAGGGATTCACTTAGAATGCGATTTATCTATAAACTCCTCACGGGGTCCCTAGATTTATTGCGTGGCCAAATGGAGACCGACTATTAACTTCGTTTATCATGAATTTAGTTTTCACTTATAGAAATTAATGGGCCTTTGAAAAGCTCTTCTCTTACAAAATGCGAGTTTGTAGGGCGACCCACGTAGCATGCATTCTCACGAGGTGTAGTAGATGTCGGTGAATTTAAGTTAATATTGTTTTGAGGATATCAATATTGGCAGTTAATTTCAAAAGTGTTTTATCTGTAAAAATATTTGCATGATTCTCAGGATATTCATCATGTCGTTCAATCCGTTGTCTGTCATTCTAAAAGAAAACCAGCTTACTGGTCCTGATTACATTGATTGGAAGAGGAACATAGACATAGTGTTGACTGCTGAGGGTTATAAGTTTGCTATCACTGATGCTTGCCCGACGGTGCCGGCGGCTGATGCTCCTGAGCAGGAGAAAGAGGAGTATGCTCGATGGAAGAAGGCTGATGAGATACATTCTGGCTTCTATGTCAAATGTTCTTCAACATCAACATCAGTCTAAGGACACTGCAGCAGATATACTTCTCAATCTCAGAGATCTGTTCGGACTTCAGTCTAGGGCTGCTAGGCAAGAGGCTTTGAGTGCTCTGATGAGTACGCGCATGGCCGAGGGCACACCCGTGAGGGAGCGCGCTCTCAAGGTTAT